GACGAATTTGACAACGCTGCTCTTGCCGTCATCGAGCGACCCGAGAACTCCTGGGACCATCAGCAGTTCAAGGAGATCGTGGTTAAGGTTGCCAACCTGGAGATCTACTACCGTGCTATCAAGTTCTATGTTGAGCAGCATCCCTCGCTCATCACTGACCTTCTTGCAACTCTTACTCCTCGTATTGACGTTAACCGCGTCGTCAAGATCTTCCAGAAGAACGATGACCTCCCTCTTATCAAGCCTTTCTTGCTCAACGTGCAAACTCAGAACAAGCGTGTTGTGAACGAGGCTGTCAACGACCTGCTCATCGAGGAGGAGGATTACAAGACCCTACGTGACTCAGTTCAGAACTATGACAACTACGATGCTACTGAGCTGGCGAGCCGCCTGGAGAAGCACGACCTCATCTTCTTCCGCCAGATTGCTGCTTCCATCTACCGCAAGAACAAGCGATGGGAGAAGTCTATTGCCCTGTCTAAGCAGGACAAGCTGTACAAGGACGCCATCGAAACCGCTGCCCTCTCTGCCAAGACCGAGATTGTCAGCGACCTCCTTCAATATGTAAGTGCCAGTCGAGATCTGGAAATCTCTAATATACTAACATCTGTAGTTCGTTGATATTGGCCACCGGGAATGTTACACTGGCATGCTGTACGCTTGCTACGAGCTCATCCGCCCTGACCTTGTTCTGGAGCTCTCATGGCGCCATGGCCTCATGGACTTCTCTATGCCTTACATGATCAACATGCTCGCCCAGCAAACGAAGGACCTCGCCCTTCTGAAGGCAGACAATGAGGCCCGCAAGGCGAAGGAGCAAGAGAAGGAGAAGACCGATGACAACACACCAATCCTCGGCGCTTCTAGACTCATGATCACAGCTGGACCTGGTGGCATGGGCTCTTCACCCTCGCCTGCACCATATGGCCAAGCAAACGGCTTCGCGCCGCAGCCCACCGGCTACGGTTTCTAGATGCAGGTACCGGTACCGATGTGGCGCTGCCTTCCCTATTACCATATCCGAGGACCGGTAGCGCATAATCAGTATCTTCATGGACAGGAGAATAACTTCAAAATGGATTCGTACCCGCCATACCCGCCCGCAGATATCAGAAAAGGATAGTTTATTGGCGAGGATACAGATCCTGTAATCATATTTTGCTTCTCCCGCGAGTTGCGCGTGGGGGCGTTGGAAGGAGGATTTTAAGCGATTGACCTCCTAAGGGCTTTTGTGGTAGACTGGAGGAGGAAGTTCTGATACTAAATTTCGCAGTCAGACGCATGTATTCTGTCGGACTGCTGTATGTTGTATGATAGTACATTGGTTTGTCTTTGTTATCCTGTCTCTTTAATGCAACGCTGTGACACGCCATGATGATACTGTTAATCTGCCATAATGCAATCCAGACACTGTTACAAAACGCTATTCTAAACCAAAGACACTGCATCAATCTCACGCTTCTCCTTCTCGATGCCATCCTTGTGAGGCTTTGGGTCAGAGATCTTGAGCCACTCGCCATTAAAGGCGTTGATCAGCCAATTACGAAGTTCTAGAACCCCCTTGTCAGTCCGAGTTTACTACGTCAAAAAGGTCTAACTTACTATCGTATACGATGCGGTTTCCGTTATGGAAGTAGATACTATGATCGCTATCAGGGAAAACGTGGACATCATAGTTCTCTACACCCGCAAGATCAAGCTCATCAAGAAGCGTGAGCGAGTTCTGGAAGTGGACATTGTCATCGGCAACACCGTGCATAAGAAGGAAACGCTTGTTGCTGCCGAGAGCTGTGGCATTGGCGATCATAGACATGTCGTAGCCGTCAGGGTTCTCTTGCGGTGTACGCATGTAACGCTCGGTGTAGATACTGTCGTAGAAGCGCCAGTCAGTGACAGGGGCGACAGCCATGCCATAGCTGAAAGTGCGTCCGGCGTCCTGCTCAAGTGTCTTGAGGGTGGTGAAGCCGCCATAGGACCAGCCCCAGATGGCCAGGCGATCGGCATCGACGTAGGGACGGGAAGCGAAAGACTTGGCAGCGGCGATGTGATCTTGCGACTCCAGAACACCGAGTTGTGAGCGGACTACTACACGGTGCTTGCGGCCAAGGAAGCCTGTGCCTCGAGGATCGACGGTGACAACTAGATAGCCGAGGGCTGAGGCGACATAGGCTTGGAAGTCAACGGAGAATCTCTTGGTAACAGACTGAGAGCCCGGACCGGAGTACTGCTGGAAGAGAACAGGGTACTCCTTCTTCGGGTCGAAGTGAGGGGGACGCCTTTCTACGTAGTTGACCTCAACGCCATCACCAAGATCGAGGGTGCCGTATTGCATAACAGGAAGCTCGTGGCGACGGGCACGCTCGGCTAGCTCGGAGTTGTCCTCGACGACACGCTCGTAGGTAAAGACACTCGAAGGTGTGGAGATGACCTTTTGGCTTGGAACCTTGGGTCCGCGGTATGACAGGAGGACAAAGCCAGCACCCTTGGAAAAGGAAGCATCGTAGTAAGCCTCAGTCTCAGGGTCAGTCAGAGCTTCGAGAGAGGTACCGTCAAGCTTGACAGAGTAGACATGGCGCTGAATAGATGACTCTTTCGCGGCGATGAAGTAGACTAAATTGTTTGCGAGATCGATTGCTGAGGGAGCATCATCAATTTCCCATTTGCCCTTGGTAAGCATAATGGGCTCAGGGTTGTCGAGAGGAGTGAAGTAAGCCAGGTGATCATAGCCCTCGTGTAGATAAGAGTCAACGTATCCATCGTGATCACGACCATTCTCAGGATCAGCAGGGATGTAAGCTGTTTTGTGGGAGATCTCGAACCAACCACCGTCAATCTCATCGACGTCGATAGTGTTGACAGTCTTGCCCTTGCGAGAACCAACGTCGATCAGGACGACCTTGAGAATATCGCTGACACGGTTGGTCTCCTTGACGAGAGCCTTGCCACCGGCCCATAGAAGATTGTTGATGATGCGATCATCGTCTGCGAATGCACCATCGATATCAACAGAGAAGACATCCTTCTTCGACACGTCGTAGAAGAGCAGGTCAACAACTGGGTTGTGGGCACCAGCTTTGGGATACTTGATCTGCTCAACCTCGGGATACGCCTCTTCTCCCTGTTCAGGGTCTGTGCCACTGGGTCGCTTGATGAAGAACTGGACTGGAAACTCGGGAACACCCGTCTCGTTTGTGCGAAGGAAGGCCAAGTACTTGCCATCGTCAGACCACCACGTAGCGCTGCGGCCACCAAAGACTTCTTCCTCGTAGACCCAGTCGGGAATACCGTAGAAGTACTCTGGACCGCCATCCTTGGTGATCTTGACGACATTCTTCTTATCGTCCAACTTTCGGATATACAAGTTGTTGTCTTGCGTATAAGATACGGCGTCGCTCTTGGGACTCCATGTAGCGAGCTGAATTCGAGCATCGAGCTTGCCCGGGACGAGCGGTTCAGCTTCCTGAGTCTCGACATCGAGAATGAAGTAGATGGCGCTGAAAGAGTGACGCCAGTTTTTCTTCTTTTCGACGCCGAGAAGGACCTTCTTCAGATCGGGACTGGGCTCGTTCCATTCGGGAGAGTATTGGTTTCCCTCGTAAACAAAGAAGTTATCCTTCATCAATGTTCGTGACTTGGAGGCTTTGACTTCTGTATCAATGGGTGACCTGGCCTCCTTATCGCTGCGGATATCCTCAACAACGATGTATGGCTTCTCGCTAGCTCCAACCTCAAGCAGCAAACCATCCTCCCCATCAGGACCGCCAATCCAGCTGATACTGTGTGACTTGGCCTGCCAGAAGCCACTGAAGAGCTGATCCATTGTAACGGCCTTTCCCGAACCTCGCGTCGCAGCATCAGGATCGTGCTCGGTATCGCTCTCGTGATGATATGAACCGAAATAGAGGAATGTGCCGAGACCTATAAGCCAAGCTGCGACAAAGACAGAGCCGACAATGATGAGAATGCGTCGCAATCCTCTATCCATGGGCTCACGATGCAGGGAAGCTCCAGGACCGAGGAAAGGACCCGTCTCTAGGTCATCCTCTTCCTTGAGGGGATCATCGTCCTCGAGAGCTCGAGAATCGCCGTTATCTCTTGAAGCGTCCATGATTGTCTTCTCTTGTATCCTATCGAACACAAGACTCGTCGTCGAAGCCGAAGAGATGGAATCGTCCGAGTATCGACGGTCGCTGGCAGGGCTCAACGGGGACATATTTGAAGCCGTTATTAGGGGAGGGTGTCCTCCGTTGTATATCGTGTTGGTTGTTGGTGGTGTCTGTGGTACGCGAGTCTAGTTTATTGGTGCTGGCACATGCTGCGGTGCGCGCGGAAGCGAGCGTCGGAGATTGAAATGAATAACGATAGGCTAGTACGAGCAAACAAATGAGTGGGCAAATGGTTGTGGACGAAAGAAAAGAAAGAAACGAGGCGTCAATTGGATCTGTATTTGGTTGTCAATAGAGACTAGTTAACTAACGCGAGGGGATGATGGGCTGTGCTGATGCTAATGCTGATGCTAATGATACGTCTAAGCTCGTGCTCATGCTCGTGCTTGTGCCGACTTGTCGCATCGGGCGAAGCTTCTGATGACGTAAGCTGGCGATCAGTGAGTTTTGTTTCACATTGAGGGTTTGTCTCGATGAATGCGTCCTCAGACAATTGCTTCTCTAATTGTATGATATTGAGTGTTACTCTGTATCGAGTTTCAACTGCTTCGATACGATGTGAGATCCGGCGCATGCAGCATCATCCATCCCCCGGCCTCCGAACCCCGGATACACCCCACTCACCATGCGGCCCGGGGCAATAAATCCGGGGTATTATGATCGCGATTGGGCTCAAGGTCAATGGACAAGCATTTATTTATTAAGAGGAAGACTCAAAGTGATAAAAATAATACTATCTAAGAAGAATAATAATAAGAAGAATAGTGATACTGCCGAAGTAAATTAGAAAGGGTATCCTCACAATCTCCGGCTTCAACATCAAACCAAGTCAAGTTAATGCGTCAACTGAGGCGCCTCAACGTTGGCGCCCTCAATCTTCTCAACCACACAAGCAGTCCCATAGGCACTCGCCTGCGCAAAGCCTCCCAGATCTCCCGTCTCAAAGCGCAGGCAAATGATGGCATTTCCCCCTCTCCTCTTCGTTTCTTGCACAACCCGGCTGATAGAGTCGTTGCGGCAAGAGTACAGCATCGAAGTGAACCAGGTCAGTTCGCCGCCTGCCATGCTCTTTATAACCATGCCGATTCCTGCGGCGATGTTGCGTGAGCGTACCGTAATTCCGTAGACTGCTCCGAGGACTTTGGTGATGCGGTAGCCAGGGAGGTCCATCATTGCTGGGACGTGTCAGTGGAATTGGGGAGAATTGGAGATGATGATGATGACTGACTTGTGGTTATACAGTTGTCTGTCTCGGTGAACTATAGTGTGTGAGCAAGATTATCTTCAGCCGAGATACGAGAAAATACTCACGCAGTGCAAGTCGGACAAGTGCGCGGGGATATCTGCAACCTCCTCATGATTCTTCTTCTGGTCCTTTGCTGATCCAAAACCAACCATCTTGACGGTGTGGTCCAAATCGTATAAGTGTAGATAATAGTTTGAAAGGTGCAGTTCAGCAGTATATAGGCAATTAAGAACAGGATCTTGTCTGATGTCATGTAATCCTTCATACACAATCAAGGAACCAGCTCCATCTTTATAGTCCCATTAACACCCCAATCCCCAATCCCATATCCAAGGCTGAAAGCCAAATAACGCCCAGCCGAAGTGGTGATGCCGATCTAACCGCCAATCACCCCACACGCAATTCTCGCATTCATCGTATCTGTCCCGCCCATGGCTTGAGCTGTAGTCTCAGTGTCTCATTTGCTGGCCCTATAGCTCAGATCGAGTTCTGAGTGGTCGACCACATCGCCTCGTTCAACCCACGACTAGTGGCTGTGCTGTTCAGCTTATGGACACGTGATGACGTCCTGCCTCATAAGGCTTTCATACTTGCTTTTTCGGTCGTTCAAACAGTCAACTCCGTACTCTCATATCGATTTCAATACGGTCAATACGATGGCGGTATGTCCGGACCGGGAGTGGGGCTGTAACTTCGGGGAAAGCCGTCATCATGATATGTCAAATGGACAAACTTCTGGATATGCTATACAATTATAGGCGCTATCAAGTATAGAAACACTAACACAATATGTACTACTAGTTCATACAATCATTAATAACCATCAGATCTTAGAAGTGAAACAGACGGCTTGACCTCTTATGGGTAGCCTTCTCAGCGGCCCTCTTCCTGTTGCCAAACTTCTTGACGCGGGCAGCATCGCGGGCATGCAACATGACAGCGCTGCTGGTGTCACGACGCTCATTAGAAGAGTCCCCAGCGAAGTTGCACTGAGGCTGCTTCAGTCTGTTGCCAAACTCATCAACAGCCCAGATGAGCACACCGTTGGTCCAGCCGAAGCCCTCAACGACTTCGTACTCACCGCCGCCTCCTGCAACGTTGGTAGCGTTGTCGGCGTACTTCTCAAACATGATGCCATCAGCCCCCTCAGCCGCTGACTGGATTCGGGGCAGATCTGAAGTTGTTCCTCCAGTTGCGCGCCAAGTGCAGAAAGTTGAGTCCAGATATCGCTGGGCGAGACGCAGAGCCAGTCTACGGACCTCGATGAAAGAAGGATCCATGATGCCAAATGTTGCAGGGACCTTTTCAAGCCCTGACATGAGGATGTGCATCAGTGGAGGCCAGACATTAGGCTGATCCCACTGCTGTCCCGACTCGACATTACTCGCAGGAATACCACCCTGACGGGTATCCAGATAGTACGAGACACGCTTGTAAGCATTGAGGACAGCATATGGGTTATTCTTGAGATAGTCGGGAGCAGCACCCAGCCAGAAGGGGTAGAACTGGGTAGGGCTGAAGAAGACCTGCTTGCCCTTGGGAGCATTCTCCTTGTCAATCTCTGCAGTATTGTTGTCGGTTGGGTAAAAGATCGACTGTGCCTTGGAAGTCAAGTTGTAGTCGAAGTAGCTCCAATGGGTCTCGTTCCACATGAAGGCATGCATGGCAAAGCTGCGGTTGGCAGCGACTTCGCGCCATTGACGGCTGGCACTGCTGTTGCCTGTCTGCTCATAGAACTCAGCGATGGCGATCTCGTTTCCGTACAAGATCGAGTTGAGATCAACAGGGATGATGTTTCTAGTGTTGAGGTATCTGAGAGGGAAGTAATTGTCGCGAATAGCATCATCGGGTCTGGCCACCCACTTAACTGTGGGATTGTTAGGCATAAGGTCTGGTTTTGATCAAGTTTGTGAACATACCTGAATAGTCGAGACCACTCTCAGCACCACTGGCGAGATTTCCGTACAGAGCCTCCTTTGTCTTGAAGTTGAGTTCTTCACCACCGCTGTAAGCCTCACCGGATGGTGAGTAGTAAGACTTGTTGTTTGCAGTAACATAGTCTTCCCGGTAAGACTCGGGTCGTGGTCGAGTGTTGGAAACATTATATCTGCAGAGCATGTTAGTGGCAACCAATGCACTGGGGTCGATAGTCATACGTGTTGAGGTAGTAAGTCTCATTGTTGATGTAGACCGGAACCGAACGGTTCGTCATGAAGAACTCATGCTCCTGCACAAGCAGAGGCAGGGCACGCTCAAGAATATCAGTATCGTTGGTGTGCTCGATATAAGCCTTGATCATCTGAGACAGCAGAGGAGGCTGAGATCGGTTGAGGTAGTAGATACGAGCGCCATTGGGGACGAAGCCGTACTCTTCAATGAAATCAAGGAAGTTCTCGATCGTGTTCTTTGCAATGTTGATGAAAGAGCCACCAGTTCGAAGTAGACCCTCGATGATCCAGTACGAATCCCAGTAATAAGGCTCGCGGAAACGACCACCAGCAACGACGAAGGATCGGTTGACGGGGATGAAACTGTTGGGGCAATCACTGCAGTTCTTGGAGTCTTGGTCGTAGCGACGAGTCAGGTCAGGCCAAATATCGATGACCTTTTGTGTGAATTCCTTGATGGCAGTGTTGTTGATCTTGTCGAGGAACTTGGGATCTGTTTCAAGCTCATCTTCAGGGACTTCCTCGAGCTCACCACCAGCATCGGCAAAGTAGTCACTGAGAAACTCCGTGAGGGCCGAATTGTTACGCAGCGGCTTATCCAACTTGTCGAAAGCATCCTGGATCTCGCTCAGAGGACGAATAGCTGGCCTTGAGGTGAGTTAGCATCTGTGAAGACTCTAGCAGTGATAATGGGGTGATGACTTACATATCAACAAAGGTCTTGGAGTCGCTGAAGGGTTGGGCAAGCTCAACCTGCTCGAGAATATCTCCATGGCAGTAAATTGGTGAGTCGCAGGGCGCAACGACTGTGCCATTCACGTATAGAGCAGAAACGGTTGTCGCTGATGCAGCCAAAGCCGCAGCGATATGTCGTGGAGACGGCATCACGGAATACTTCTTCCAAGATGAAGAAAGCTACTGAGAAGTGCCAATTGAGTAGTAGAGATGCAGGGTGGTATTCAAAAAGAGGAGAGGGGATGAGAGAGAGTATATTTATATATACAGTTCAAGTTGCATAGAGTCATAAAGCTTGTGACTCGGCCAAGCCAAGGAGAAATCATGACATGATATTTAGTGAACATGAACAGGATTTGAACCTGTCATGGGTTTGTTTAGTTGCTAACATAACATTTAGGCTGTCAGCCAAGAATGGAATGGAAGATGGAAGCCGGGGGTTGCTAAAGCAAAGAAAGAGCCCAGCTTGACGATCATTATCCAATTTTCCACATTTTTTTTTTTTACTTTCACTGTACTTGACACCCTCCACTACGAGCTTGTGCAGTTGAAGGTTCATGGTATTGTAAAGTTAGCGTTTGTTTTGCCAAGGGGCTTAAATCCAACTTTACATCATGATACCAAGATGAATGACCTAGCCAGAGCTCTCCTCACTGAAATTCTGTTCAATTGAACTGTTGTATAATCAATTATTGCTTCTATCATGAGTCTACAGCAATTGAATACAAATCAGTCATATTCTCTCTGTGACGTGATATCCTCTACACCCCCAGACGCCACAGAAAATAAACAAACCAAACGTGGAGAAACGTCTGCATCTAATCCTTGTTTCTGCTCTTATTCCCCGCACTCTCCCCTCTTAGCTTCGGCATCATTTACACGCTGCTTGCAGCTTTATTTGACCGATTGGCCAGTGACGTCAAGAAATCCCAAGTCCCAAGTCTCAAGCGTTGGGAATAAACGTTCCCGCAGGGCGCGGAATTGGACAATTCGACCAAGTGCATACATAGCCTAAGACAAGTGTCAGCGGCGTTCTTGGCTCACCCGTTGACAAGAAGATCCAGCAAACGGTAGACCAGACCAGACCTCGATCGACGACTGATTCTCGGTGTAATAGGACCGACAGATGCCCATTTTCATGACTAATTCCCCCCATGCTTGTCGAGGCTGGTGATGCAGTGAATCGTCAGCTTCAGTCTCGGCAATCCCGTCAAATATCTTGACACCTGCTCGAATAGTTCTGAGATGCCAATATAGTTTGCGCAAGGTCGTCGATCATGATCCTGGTCCCGGCTCTGATCATAAGAAATTGGCCGAGACAATACCGTTAGTGACTAACACCAAGAACTGCCGGTCAACATCTAACCTTAATCGTGAAGATATCTCTAAAGAGCAGCCTTATATGGACAAGTCTCCTATAAAAAATCTTTCGATGGCTGAAACGTCTCACAGTAGTCCACTAAGATGTGCAAGGAGTAGGACCGAAAGAGCAGGCTCTAGATCGGATACCCAGTCTATCACTTCATCTATTGGGGCACATATACACTGCCCTTCCCAATCTTTTGCTGGGCACTAGAATCTCCCCCCTCGCCTAGAACCTTTTCAAACACAATCTTCAACCGTCTCAGAACCTCTTCCTCATTCTGCGCGACCTGGTAGTGCGTCACCAACCGGTTACACATGAACTTGAGCCCAGCTTCTGCGCCAATCTCAATAAACCGCTTCTCACTGCATCCTGTCGCCTTGAGGTTCAGCCACACCATGTTGGTCTCCGTTGGCTCATCAATCGTGCCACCCATGCTCGTCCAGAGGTCGTCGACCTTGCGTGCCATCTCGTGAGACGCCTTGAGTGGCCCGTCTTGGCCGTTGGGTGATTTTCCAAAGGTCTGCTCGATAGCGATGCGTCCTGCAGATGTGAGAACACCAGATTGCCGTAGACCGCCGCCAATCGACTTGCGGACCCAACGGGCGTGCTTCAGTGTGGCTTTGGGGCCAACAATGACACTTCCTGCTGGTGCACCAAGACCCTTGGACAGACATAGACTGATGGTGTCAAAGTAGGAACAGTATTCGGTCAGAGAACCTGCTCCAGAGACTACAGCTTCCCATAGCCGTGCGCCGTCCAAGTGCAACTTAATGTCGTGCTCTCTAGCGAACTCAGAGATTCGCTTGACCTCACTGAGAGGCATGACCATGCCGTGGAGAGTGTTTTCCAGACTGATAACACGTGTAGGGCAACCGTGAACATCATCATCCAGGGTCACATTCTCTTGAATCTCTTCAAGTGTCATGTATCTGCCATTTTTAGGAACGACAGTCTGAATCTGAGCCCCTGTGAGGTTTGAAGTGCTACAAAACTGTCAACCCACCGAACTTAGGACTCACTTTTTAGTACTTACCCGCCTGCTTCAGCGGTGAAAATGTGAGCTCGGTAATCGCACAGTACTGAGTAAGGGGGCTGAGTGAGAAGAGATCGAAGAGCGAGCTGGTTTCCCATTGTTCCTGAGAGGACGAAAAGACCGGCTTCCTTTCCAGTGCGTTCCGCAACATAGGCTTCAAGGTCGTTTGTAGCAGGGTCCTCCTGGAAGACATCGTCAAGGAGAGAGCATGATTTGACAGCTTCCAACATAGCTGGTGTTGGTGTCGTCACCACATCGCCTATACCAAACCAGGATCAGAATTTGGCATCTCAACTTGTGTATGAGTTACATACTGCGGAGGTCAAGAGCCGCAGGCCCTTTGGCACCGAGCCAGGCATTATGAGGCTTCTCAGAGATAGCGTCTCCCATTTTGACGGATGAAGAGGTAAAAGTCCGCTGTGAAGAAACAATTGGGTGTGCTGTTAAAGATATTGATAGAGGTCGGAGAGGATATTGTGACAAGTTGCGAACTGCCGAGGATACGTTAAGTCGAGAAGAACGACTCATCATGATAGAAGAGCGAATTAGACTCAAGAGAGTCTCAATCTCCGCAGAACGGAACAATAGAGTCAAGTCGTTTATAGGGCGTAGAATGGGGTACAACCTCCACAAAAAACGTGTCGATAATGAGGGGAACATGGAGCGAGTCTTGGCCGTTGAAAGAGCCGATGCCGCCCCCGTCTCGGCTCCGGAAGCGATACCGATATCGATATCAATTAATGGAGCCTCCCCCCTCACAACACTAATCAACTTCAAGGGTCTACCATTATCAAACGGTGCTTATTTCCGTTTCATGTGCATAAACAGAATCTTCTTTACAAAGCCTTTAGCTCTGCTTATAGATGCTTTGTAATGAGGCCATCGGCTGGGTTCAGCCATTTAGTTGGTGTCTTTAGCATTGTTTGATCGTCATTGGGATGAGAGTAAATAGCGGGCCTCAATGCTATCTATGCTATACGAACTACGAACGTGGGAAATCAAAATGTATGTACGTATGAAATTGCGTCAGCCCGTTCATCGTTATCAGCCCTGGGAGAATATCATTATCAAAATAGATTAAGCAAGAGTCAAGCCTCAAACACCCTTTTTACATTACATGGCGTCGGTGCTTATCACTGTGTTCAGCTGCCGACGCCTGTTAGATTGCCGGCTTCATAGTCTGACAGGAACAGACATTTTAGCCAATGAAGCAACGCCCTGCGTATGTAGCATTGGAACAAACTCGTGTAACGGCCTGACCATCCCTTTAATCCTGAGGCTGAGCCGCTGAGGGCGTGCCTTAGTCCGAGATCAACGTATTAGCGGGCTGATTCTCGAATCCCTTCTGGGGACAAGATGCCGTGATTACCGATTTATTGCTCCCTCATGCGACACTTGTGTTATTAGACACATGTCACTGCTGCCATGTAATAGCAGCCCTGTCGCACTAACGATCTTTTGACTTCTTATTCTCTCATTTCTCTTCATGTGCGGAATTTATCATTAGTTATGGCTTCTCGCGTGCCTTATCGTGTGTTCCTCTCGTTGATACTCCTCGTCTGCGTGGTCGTGCTTCTATCTAAGCAGCCGTTCTTCGATCGTTCACACATTCATCGCATTACTGATACGGATATCAGCGTTTCTCTCTCGCTTCCGAGACTTAACTTTTCAAGGTCGCATCACGAATACTACGCATCAGATGCCGCTCGCTCGTTATGCGCCTCACATGGCTACACTGTCTTCAACCCTCATCCCGACGCGCCAAACGGTCGCCGCAAGATTTACGACCTCTTCATGGTCAATACAGAACTGGACTTTCTCGAGATTCGGCTAAAGACTCTGTATAATTATGTCGATTATTTTGTTGTCGTTGAGGCGCCACTTACCTTTCAGGGCGGTCCCAAGGACCTTGTCATCCGAGACAATTGGAAGCGCTTTGAGCCTTACCACGACAAGATGATTTATCATCAACTCGAGTATCCGAAAGACTTCAAGCCCTTGCGTCACTGGGATCGGGAAGACTTGCAGCGCAACGCTATGTTCGACCAAGTCTTCCCAAAGCTTACTGGCGAGCAAACCCCAACTCAAGGCGATGTCATTCTGGTTGCCGATGTCGACGAGATTCTGCGTCCTGCAACGATGCTGGTACTTAGGACATGCAACTTCCCTCGTCGCCTGACCCTCTCTTCCAAGTTTTATTATTATTCCTTCCAGTTCCTCCACGATGGGCCCGAGTGGCCATTCCCACAGGCAACCTATTATCAAGGCATGCGTAATACCATTCTTCCTGGAAATTTGAGAACTGGAGATGCAGGAATTCCTCTGCTCAGGGATTTGGAAAAGGGAACATTGGCCAATGCTGGCTGGCACTGCAGCTCGTGCTTTTCGACAATGGGCCAATTCCTGAACAAGATGGCCAGTTTCTCGCATGCGTGGATGAACCACGAATCCTTCCGCGATCGGGATCGTATCGCAAGTGCGATACGTGAAGGTGTTGACCTATGGGGGCGTAAAGAGAACACGTTCACTCGAATAGACAGTAATGCCGACCTTCCAACTTGTCTGCTTGAGGATCGGGAGAGGTTTCGATATATGCTGGATCGAAGTGGCAAGACCGCGGGGTTCAGCGACTACCCATGAACTTATCTTTTGTGGCGGATGATTATGATAAATTTGTTTAGGCATGGTTTGGTCTGGTCTGGTTTGGTTCATGATTTCTGGATGTGTTAGTTATGAGAATCGAGATACCCCTTCAATAATGAAGTGTTTCAGCCTCCAACAACTCCCAAGCCTCAACTTTGGAGTAACTGCGCCTCGGTACGGAATCTTCACAACTGTCTTTGACATTCGTGCACATGAATCCTTTACTGTTGGCCAGGCACTGTTAGACATTGTTCTCCGTTGTCACGAGTTCGATTTTCTGTCTTGATCAATTTAAGATGCTTCTCTGAAGGGAAGGAGTCACATTCGCACAATATTCAAGGGGGAGGAAGGAAGGAATGTGCCGAAAACAGTGGCCCTGTGACGGCAACAACCTTCTTCCTAGACCTAGCCCAATTCACTGCACTTGCCCAGCTAACAGTGACCTAAGTCAGGCATCCATCCATTATCAAGAATCCACCCTTGGGCAACTTCTCTCCACCATCACAACTCTCAATCAGCAACATCGACATCGAGTCTCTGAGGTCAACTTCCGTCTAAGCGATGATTGAGTCACATGGCGATCCAATCGTTAGCTGATCCTCGTCACGTAGCGTCACTTTCTCCGCAGCTCTTCAGCTCCTTGCCTACCAAGTGGTCCAGTCACGATAGCCTCAGTGTCAGCTCCCAATAAGCATCCCAGAGTCGGTCATATCAGGGGTTCAAAAGTCATTCGGAACTTGAGCCGTGTGAGTGATGTCCATTTGCAGAAAAGCCATTGTCTAGCGCAAGACGTTCGATTCGCTCACAGTCGTTGACGGCGCTCCAATTAGAAGCCCGAGTCCACCTTTCTCAAACCTCGAATTCCATTTCATTTCCGTACGAGGAAGTAATAATTTCGACCCTTTCCCACACGATAATTTTTTTTCTTATTTCTGTTTCTAATTTATTCAAATCATATGCCAATACACTTCGTAATCATATCCATTGATGCTCACTGACATTTTACAGGACGTTCAGTTGCGCTGTTTGAACCATCACCACTCCGTCTCCACCCCCGTACCGACAGAGCCCTCCGCTCCGCCTCCGTTCACCGCCGTCCCCGTCTGATCGGAGCTCCCGAGGGCTGTCCGAGTGCGCAGCATGACCTCATCGTAATCACTCATCCCTTCCAAAGTATCAAAGCTGAATGTTGGCCAGACTTGTTCCGCGCCAAGCTTTTTTGCTATTTGTTCTATTCGTATAGCCTGTCCTTGCTTCGTCGCCTATCAATAACAATCTCTCGAGTAACGAGCTGCGGCACGATGGATTACCCCGACTTAGAAACAGGCAATGCTTTCGAGGAATAGACACCCCTCGCTTCGTGGAGCAAGAAAACATTAGACCTTGATATAGGATATCAAAATAAACTCAGCAAAAGATATCCTAAGCTTATGCTAAGTTACCTAAATCTTTTTGTCATCTGGGATCAAGGTCCTAAGTTTTCCTCCCCTTCTAGCCTCGGAAATAACTCACACTTACAAGGCTTAGAGACATGGAAGCGACCATCTAGGAAAGGGTCCCGTTCATCGGAAGCACCTGGCCGTTTAAGAAAACGACAACACCCAGTCAGAGGCACCCACGATATCCTTCCCTGCTGCACCTCAGATCCTCACAGTTCGTTCGCTCGGCCAGGGTGTGGGTGCGGGCGGGAACACGATGCGCTGCGTGATGCGAGGCGGGATTGACAGGGCGATGAGCCACTGCAAAACTGGCGTGCGGCGCTTGTCAACTGCAGCGATGAGTTGGCCAACGCATCAAGTGGTCCGTGTGTAGCCTCCTAGAGTTTCCCTCATCAACAACCCCCTCCCTCACCTCTTTTCTTTCGTACTTTCTTGAATTACAGATTTTATTCTCTCTGTTTATTCTAGTATTTGGCGATCTTCTACAGCTTCTGGTTTACTTGTTGGGCTTTTTTCTATTGAAAAAAGTCTCTTGGCTGTGAAAATGGGTGTTGATAAGTATCCACACCCAAGTATCACCTGGGCGTTCTCCGCCTCACATTGACAACTCGACCCATGTCATCTGGGACATTCGATTCTTTCCAACAAACAGTCAAATGTTGAAAATCCATTCAATTCTTATTAAAGTCACTCATTACCCTCTCAACCAGCACGGGTTTCGGCGATCCAACTTAGAAAGAGTCCATCTCTTGCCACTATTCTTGACTAACAAAACACAACTCAGTCATACATTCCAACTCGAATCTGGATCTGGATCTGGATCTGGTTCCCTTGTCTATAAACACACGCGTCTTCCCACCAACTACCAGGCTTAAAACTGAACGAACATTTTCATAACGACATAATCATTCAGTCATCAGCCGTTTCTAGTCAGCCGCTTGCAGGTTACTTACACAAGCTATGGCCGACAACTGCCCATGCTTTACTCGATCAAAGTATGTTCCAAGCAGAAAAACAACATCCAAGAATCATATCGTCATCATCGTCAACAGCAGCAGAAAAAATAGCGCCATCAACAATGGCAACAGCGCCTAGGCCCCCGGTGAATAACAAAACGAAAAAGTGAGGAGTGGCAAGCGCCAACTCCATATACAAAAACGGCGTCCCTTGGGAAAAGGTCTTTTCTCCTTTCTAGCCAGTGCTGGATTTCCTCCCACCATGCAAGATTATGCTCCGTCCATTAACAAAGAAAAGTGTCATGGTTTTTCCAGGACCTGGGTAGTGGCGACATGAGAACAGCGAAGAAGTCTTCGAAACCCCGGTAACAGCTGCGTATGGGCCAACAGATATCTGGAAATATCATGAGCTCGTGAGAGAGGAATTTATATATGTTTACCCTTGGTCTTTTCACTCGCTTGTCATAAGCCGGTCTTGTGCTCTGTTGTTGGCCCGAGACGCAAGCAAAGCAGCCTTTGTCTGGCAGTTATAGGAACAACTAGCACAGACTTGGACGCTTGTTGCCTCGAGTCAGGGGGCGTGGAAACATCCCCAAGCGAGTGTTACAGCCACCACACCAGCGAGTTATGGCGCTGATCATGGTCGCGTGGCATACTTCATTAGAAACTCGACTACTGCGTCAAGGTTTGTCTCTTCTTTCGCGCTGATACCATAGCAGCACACCTCACGACCTCGTATGCTCTTCAGGTCTAGCTCGTCAATCAACTCATCCACCGAAAGCTTGTCCGGAAGATCGGACTTATTCCCCAGGATGAGAAGCGGTATACCCTCAAGCGACTTGCGGCTCATGAGATCATGGAGCTCTTCCTTCGCTTGGGGAATCAAAGGTGTGTCGGCAATATCCACGATAAAGACGATGGCGCTCACGCCTCGACAATATCTTTCCCACATGGTTCGAAACCGGGGCTGGCCGCCAATATCCCAACACTTCAAGGTAACATGCCCGCGCTGTACCTTTTTCATGTTGAAACCAACGGTGGGGATGGAGCTATCATCTGGAGTTAGCACTGTGACCTCATGACACAGTTGAAATGTCCGGTCAGGCAGCAGCGAGATCGAGGAAATTCATGGCAAGAGCCAGTATTGGGAAGTGCTTACTCGAGAGTGAATTCACCGCCCTACAAACGCGACAGTCAGCTACAGGCGGTCAAGCGAAAAAACGACATGTCGGAACCTACAGCAAGAACTCGTAATAACGATGTCTTTCCAGCATTTTGCAAACCAACCATCGTCACTTCCATTTCCATCGCCCTAGGAGTCATTATCAGCATGTGGGTTCAAAAGCTGCGGCACCTGTGAAGAACAGCGAGTCGCAAATGAACCGAAGGTTTCTGTTGGTTTCCGTGGAAGCAACCTCATGATTATGGCTACTTACCAGAACATGCGCATGAGCCAATTGTAGACCCTTTGGAATAGCCCTGCCATATTTGCTATCGGGTCACGAAAGACGTTGGTCGGGCTGCGGTAGGCGGTCGGGTGAAGGCGGGGGTGCTGATTGGAAGAACGCTGCAGCTTGTCGCAAAGACGAACGAGAGAAATGTCGTTTCTTTTGAAAGCTTCTCCTCTTTGGCAGAAGAACACAAAATGTCTCGGTTTCGCGAAAGATGGCAGAAGATGTGGTGGGCGGGGTGTTTTATGGGCGGACAATTCTTGTTGGTGCTCAGATGCAGGGTCGTGGTCCAAGGTGGCAGAAGCGAGAGGAGCGGCAGGACGGCGGTTCAGGAAAAGCGACTTGTATGACGGTGGCAGGCGACAAGTAACATCTGCACCTGCAAAGTTGTGCGCGCCAGCGTCTAGGCGTTTGATACAAGGTCGGCGTCGGCGTCGGAGGCGGGTTCGAGCGGCGATGGAAATAGTGAAGGAGGAGAGGCTCGTGGTGCAACGACGGAGGAGCAGTACCTAGATTGGCACAGGTGACGCCTAGGCGGAGGCACAAAAAAAGGGCCCCACCTGGGACGAGATGACGGCCGAGACAGTCAACAGAGACGCCAGAAAGGGCACCCAAAAGACACCAGCAGAGACCACCAACGGGCACGAGCCTTTGGGGCCTTGAGGGGGCAAGGAATGGGGAAGTGGTGGGAACGACCCGTGCCTGGCGGCGCAAGTAGCGTAGCTTTTAGCGCAGATGCAGCGCCAAAGGAGCCCAGAGAGGTTACCGAGAAAGATTGGTGCTGTAGATGGTTAAGTCGAGTGTAAGCGTGAATATCAAACTCAACGCAGGTCGAGGTACTTGGCAGTCGTGAGACCGGCAGCTATCCCACTGCTAGCTACCTAGGTAGGCTACTCACTAATCCAGGGTATGTATCGATGGCAGCAAGAGAGCTCGAGCTCTAGGTCAGGTCAGGCCAGGTCGGGAGGCCTAAGGCAAGGTAGAGCTCGTGCAGGGATGAGCAGTGAGCGGGAGCGCCAAAATGTAGTGATTGGGGACTGCAAGTCGTCGCGGGGTGTTGTGACATTCCAATCTTCAATCACCTGGCCCAGCCAGAGGTGGCAGCAGTGTGGGCTAGGCGCTGCGGCGTTTCATTCGCTTGAACAGAGGAGAGCTTGCTTGGGTGGAGCGATGATCGACCAGGGCACGCAGGGCTCCAGGAGACCAGGACTGCGTCGACGTCAGTGCTCAAAGTCAAGGGCTTCAGTGAAGGCGCCTAACGAACGCTGCTGTGTCTTTGTATTTGTTCGTAGGGTCCTTGTCGCTGCAAGGCAGGGCAGTTAACGAATGATGGGCCGGTAAATAGACGTTTGAGTTGAATGTCACTATCTTGACTTTGCCTCCTAAAATCAAAGTGCTTCACGGTTAGCTGCAGGGTCTTCAGAGAACGGGAGCCGGCAAACAAACCCACCCGATGGGTTAAGACTTGAGAGTAGACGTAGACGTAGACGTAGACGGTGACAGCGTTGACGATCAATACTGGATCTGATCGAGGTACTTGACTGACCTGGTCGAGCTCGACTTGTGGTTATAGGTCTTGAAAGCGGATAAGAGATCTCCTGGGCAATGCAGCTCCCTCCGGATCGTGCAATGGAGTTTCAAATACGGGCGGTTTGAGGTGCCTCAATGCAAAGTGTGGGCCTTGACCGCCAGCCACGGACAGGACAGCCACAAGTAAGGCGTTGATAACGGGACGATGAATCAAGTTGTTGGACGACCTGCAGATCAAGGATATCCGCTGCCTCGAACTACAAACCTTTGTTGAGTGTTAGGTAGTATTATAGTTCCGCTCGATTATATGTTTTTGAAGGCTGCAAGAGGAGAGTTGTTGCAGGGTATGAGGTGAGCCACACATAAATTGCAGCCCTCTGTAGCGGCACTTAGGTAGCAGAGTCGTGATATCTGATGACCCCAGGGTTACCTTGACATCGAGATGATTCAAGGAAGAGATGTGAATATGTCCAGATAGGAGGACGTGTAAAAGACCATAGCGTGGAAGTACCCTTGTCTCCAGAAGATGTACAGAGAGATGACGGACCAAGACCAAGTGCAGCGTGTTGGGCTATTGGCTGCGAATCAAGTGAAGTTGGTTAAAACCAACCGAGGTCTCACCAAAGCGTTTATCTCTAGGACCATTATTCGATCAATCCTGGGCATGGTACCTGTATGTATGTATGTACTGCAATGCAGGTTGGGCTGCAGTTGCTGCAAGCATCGCATTCGAGGCTTGTAACCCCAGCTCTTATTCGTGTAGTAATTGGGAAGCTTTCGCTTTTGGGCTGCAAGACAAGTACGTCTCGTCATCCTTATTACTCGAGGAGGTGGCAGCCCAGTATTACTCCGGGAGTGTCTGGCGTGCTTCTTGTTCATCTGTCTAAATACCTCTTGTCTCTGCGCCACCGGAAATAACTACAGTAGTAGCTGGCAGAGCACTTTCAGTGGCCTTCAGTACCTCCGGACTCTCCATTACTGGACATGTCACTAGCATAGAAGCCGAAACCGTGACCACCTTTCGAGTTGCAAACCTCGTCCTGGCCCCCATCTTCGACTTACACACAGTCAGCGTTGTACCTAAATTATTTCCCAGGCACCAGCTTTAGGCCTTCATGCTCTGGAAGCGGTGATTGGCAACACAAAGGGGCCAACTTTCTTTGCTAAGCATGCCTTGTGACTTGGGGAACGGTAGATAATTCGTCATCATTCTCGTTTATCATCGCCTCTAGCTAGAAATCCTGGAACGATGTAATCTTCTCGTTCGCGATGCTGCCTCTGTGGGAGCTTGGTTCCTCAAGGATAAGATGACAGGGTTATTCGCCATGTTGATTCATCGCTGGTGTTTCATTTGACTGGTCATGAAATTTATGCTTCCTTGTTAAATTATGAACGCAACGAACCGTTTTAACCGCTCATGCGGCCGAATTCAAACGTTGCACCTAAATCGCTTGATTGATTGATTGATACAACCAGTTCCGCATTCGATGATGCGTGATCCTCATTCGCTAGCTTACTACCCCACCTCTGATAAGATAACGGCCGGCAATGACTAAGCTTAGCTTTGACTTTTTTTTCTGGCTGGGAACTTTTTTTTTCTGCGCTGCGATAGCCTCAATCTTTGCGACTGCGAGCGGTCTTACCAATAGATTTGCCGCTCCTCACTGTTCACAGCGGCCGGCAAGATTCTTCGAATGTTTTCTTCTATTGCGATTGACTCTACTACTGTTTGTTTTGGAATTGCTGCCATCGCTCAGAAGATATCACACCGAGTCTCGCCATTCTTGAAGCTCTAGGCCATTCTCTTAGAGTACCAGTCACCATGGCACCCTCGGCCACCGAAACCGAGTGGGATCACCAATTCCATACCCTGCGCCGAGAGGACCTTTTCCGAAACCCTCCCAAGGATCACACTGCCTATCCTGCCCTCCAATTAGCCGTCGACCCTCATCTCGAGTCCTTCAATGGCTTGTTTCGCGACGATGGCAAGCCAGGCCTGCTGGCGCATGGTATAGCCGACATTGGCGCCAGAACATACCTTGATGGCGACGACCGCGCCTCGCCAGATGGCAAGAATCGCCTGACTATTAGATACAAAGACGTCTTCCTTCAGAAGCCTCAGGTGCCCCCTTCCAATAAGATGGCCCGGAACCGTCAGGTTTTCCCCGCCGAGTGCAGAGAACGCCATGTAACATATCGAGGAAGGCTCTCAGCTACTCTCGAGTACCGCATCAACGGCGGAGATCCAGTTGAGTTTACTCGGGAGTTTGGCCAAGTACCTGTCATGATCAAGGTTTGCATACCAATTTCTGCTTACGGAGGGCCTTTGCTCACATATACCAGTCGAACCGATGCCACCTTGAGAACAACTCGCCCGCGCTCCTTGTCGAGAGAAAGGAAGAATCCGAGGAGCTTGGAGGATACTTTATCGTGAACGGTATCGAGAAGATTATTCGAATGCTGCAGTTGAACAAGCGAAACTTTCCCATGGCCATCAACCGACCTAGTTTCCAGAACCGTGGTCCTGGTTACACTCCCTACGGTATTATTCTGCGTGCAGTTCGCCCCGACGAAACCTCTCAGACCAATGTCCTCCACTACCTCAGCGACGGAAACATGACATTCCGTTTCTCATGGCGCAAGAACGAATACCTTGTTCCCGTCATGATGATCCTCAAGGCACTGGTTGAGACCAACGATCGCGAGATCTTTGAGGGACTGGTCGGTCCGGCCGGCTCCAAGTCAACCGAGAACACCTTCTTGACACACCGAATCGAGCTACTTCTACGGACATACAAGTCATACAACCTCTACAGCAAGTCGGATACGAGAGCATACCTGGGCGAGAAGTTTCGAGTTGTTCTGGGAGTGCCGGACACCATGACCAACCTCGAGGTCGGAACTGAGTTCTTGCGAAGAATTGTCTTGGTCCACCTTGGAAATGTTGATGTTACTGAAGAGCAGGACAAGGAGAAGTTTAAGCTGCTTCTCTTCATGATCCGAAAGCTTTATGCGCTTGTCGCTGGTGACTGTGCTGTCGACAATCCCGATGCCGTCCAGAACCAGGAGATCTTGCTTGGCGGTTTCTTGTATGGACAGATCCTCAAGGAAAGACTTGATGAGTTCCTCAGCGTCAACGTTCGAGCATCTTTGCGTGATTACCTTCGAAGGAACCCCGGCGTTGCCTTCACCTCGGAGGACTTCCGCAAGGAATTCCCCAACAACATTTTCCGCAAGGCTAACGAGAACCTCGGAAATGCTCTAGAATACTTCCTGTCAACGGGTAACTTGCAGAGTGCCTCGGGTCTTGATTTGCAACAAACAGCCGGTTTTACAGTCGTGGCTGAGAAGCTCAACTTCTTGCGTTTCATCAGTCATTTCCGCATGGTGCATCGTGGTGCCTTCTTCGCCCAACTGAAGACTACGGCCGTCCGAAAATTGCTCCCAGAGTCGTGGGGGTTTATGTGTCCTGTCCATACTCCTGATGGTGCTCCTTGTGGTCTTCTCAACCATCTTGCGCACAAGTGTAAGATCATGACTGACTACGTCGATGTGTCTCATATTGCTTCTCTCGCTCAGGAGCTTGGAATTGTTGACGTTTCCTCGGCTTCGACTGAAGAGAATGTCGTTGTCATGCTTGATGGCAAGATCCTTGGTTTCTGTACTCCCAAGGAGTCTGTCAGAATTGCAGACTGCTTCCGATACTGGAAGGTTGAGGGTACTCATGGAGTTCCTCTTCAGCTCGAGATTGGTTACGTTCCTCCATCCAGGGGTGGATCTTATCCGGGTATTTACATGACATCAACGCCCGCAAGAATGGTTCGCCCTGTCAAATACCTTCCTCTTCAGAAGGAGGATTGGGTTGGTCCTTATGAGCAGCCTTACATGTCGATTGCTGTGGTGCCCCAGGAGGTCGAGTCTGGCAAGTCAACACATGTCGAGTTCGACCCCACAAACATGCTCTCGATTCTCGCCAACATGACGCCCTTTTCCGATTTCAACCAGTCTCCCCGAAACATGTACCAGTGTCAGATGGGTAAGCAAACTATGGGAACTCCTGGCGCTGCTATCCGCTACCGAACCGATAACAAGTCTTATCGCATCCAAACTGGCCAAACGCCCATTGTGCGAGCACCTCTTCACAACACATATGGCTTCGACAACTTCCCCAACGGCATGAACGCAGTTGTTGCTGTCATCTCTTATACCGGATACGACATGGATGACGCCATGATCCTCAACAAGAGTGCTCACGAGCGAGGCTTTGGCCATGGTACAATCTACAAGACGAAGAAGATCTCACTCAAGGACGACTCTCGGACCAAGGCCACTAAGAGTGTTACCAAGGCCTTTGGCTTTGCCCCACACAGTTATGTGAGCGCTCAGTACCAGGGCATGCTGGATGACGATGGCCTGCCTCATGTTGGTCGTCTGATTCAAGAGGGAGACGTCATCTGTGCCTGGCACACAGTGACTCCCGACTACAACGGCAAACTGGTGAACCTCGACGGCATCACTCACTACGAGAAGTACAAGGATTCGGAGAACGGGTTTGTTGAAGAAGTCCGCCTGATCGGAGCCGACTCAGGTAACGAGCCCCTGCAAACAATCTCCGTCAAGTTCCGTATTCCCCGATCGCCCATCATTGGTGACAAGTTCTCTTCTCGACACGGACAGAAGGGTGTTGCCTCGCAAAAGTGGCCGACGATGGACCTCCCCTTTTCTGAGACTGGCATTTCCCCCGATATTATCATTAACCCCCACGCTTTCCCTTCTCGTATGACGATAGGCATGTTTGTGGAGTCGCTGGCAGGCAAGGCTGGCGCGCTTCATGGCCTTGCGCAAGACTCGACGCCGTTCAAGTTTGACGAAGAGAACACGGCAGGAGATTACTTTGGCCACCAGCTGATGAAGGCTGGGTACAACTACCACGGCAATGAGCCCATGTACTCGGGCATCACTGGAGAGGAGCTCGCAGCCGACATCTACATCGGAGTCGTCTACTACCAGCGACTGCGACACATGGTGAACGACAAGTACCAGGTGCGAACCACAGGTCCAGTCGTCCCTACGACCGGACAACCTATTAAGGGCCGAAAGAGGGGTGGTGGTATTCGTGTCGGAGAAATGGAGCGTGATGCTCTGCTGGCACACGGAACTGCTTTCCTGCTTCAAGATCGCCTGCTCAACTGCTCTGACTACTCGAAATCGTGGATCTGCCGCCGATGTGGTTCGTTCCTCTCTGTGCAGCCAACAGTGTCACAGTTTGCGCCGGGCAAGAAGAAGGCCGCGAGCATCGTACGATGCCGTGCCTGTGCGGTGAAGCTGGACGACGCGGAGGGCATTGACCTTACCGAGATCCAGGGTGAGATTTGGGAGGACGGTCACGGTAACTCTTGGGTCGGAGGTGACCACACTACGCAGGTTGTTGTCCCTGGCGCGCTCAAGTTCCTTGATGTTGAGCTTGCTGCGATGGGTGTCAAGCTCAAGTACCGTGTGGACCGTGGCGATGAGCCTCGGAAGGGTCCGATGAGACCTATGGCATTAGACGGCGTTCGGGTTGGAAAATAGAGGGACATATTGTGCTGATGATTTGTTGTTTTTTCTTTGAGCTGTTTATATGGCGGCGGCCCTGTACATTCACAATAGTGCATCATGTTTAATACGAGTATGACTTGACAATACCTTTTAGAACTTGCGAGTGCTTTTTTCTCCCAATAGACGGGTGTCATCATCCATGTCTTCTGTTACCTGATATCTTACTCACAGACAATCATCGAGATGTCTTCACCGACTTTACTCGGCATCATACTTGCATCCAGCCATCAATACCAGGTATTTCTGCTTGATAAGCAGATGACACCAATGACGGCAGCAACACACACACACACATTGATACATATCCACGGCACCTCGGCATTGGACAGCGCCGAGCAAACGGAGCGTAGGAACGTGGACAATCGGTTGCCGTGTACCTTGGCCTGGAAACCAAGTGATACAAACAGAATAAGGCGGCTGCGAGTAGCCGAGGCTATCGACGAATGGCAGCTGAGGAGACAGCAGTTGTTGAAAGATGAAAGGAGTGTTTGTGATCCGAAAGGGGGAAATGTAACAAGCCGTTCTGTGATTCCGTCCATCTGCTACTGTCTGTCTCTTTGGCTGAGAACAGAACAAGGGCACACAACAACGTGGATCCTTTGTAGGATATGACAATAACATTGCACACACAGAGAGATTTTGAGTGGAGGATATAGATGAGAGCAGTGTTTCTTTTGGCATATCTGGAGCAAGGTTAGAAGCTTGAAGTTGTGCAACGAGCAGCAATAGCACACAGTCACCACAGCATTGGGTTGTTTATATAACCATGACTTGACTGGACATGGTGTTTGTTTGTTTAGTTTACTCTTTTCTCGAGGTTATTTCGAGTCCTCGATAATCTCGATTCTTCCTGTTTTATCACGCTTTAATGCCTTGGGTAAGATTTATATATCGAGTAGACCCATCTCTACCTAGCTGGACCTGCCCAACAGGTGCAGCAGCCGACAAGATTGCACCTCCCCCTAGGAAGACAAAGCCTAGCTTCAACTTAGGTACTTACCCAAGGTAATTTCTCTACTTAACTTAGGCACTCCCAAACTTGGGCCATCTACGTCTTCACTTCCTCATCAACACCATGCGTATCATCCTCGCTTGGCTGCTCTTCGCTGTTGTTACAGCACAGAGCTACAACTACGGCGGCGTTGATATCGACTCCCTCACACGCAGACAAGACCCCGATGCGCCGATCGTCGTCAAGGCCTTGCCTCAGACTCGCAATGGCACTACACCACTGAGGCTCGAGATACGACAGATGAAGGCCGATCGATACAAATGGGACTTGTTCATACTCTCCATGAGCATGTTCCAGGATGTCAGTCAGGACGACCCTGCTTCGTGGTACAAGATCGCTGGTACGTGACACTGTCTCAGATAAAACGTTGTGAGAAGGCCATGCTGATACCTTGCCTGTTCAGGGATTCACGGAGTTCCCTTCGAGGCATGGAATGGTGTTGAGGCGGCTCCAGGAGCAAACCAGTCTGGTTATTGCGCTCACAGCTCCGTTCTTTTCCCAGTGTGGCACCGACCTTATCTAGCTCTCTTTGAGGTATGAGGAGACCTGCTATTCCTCATGCTTCTGCTAACAAGATGGAATAGCAAGAGCTATATCATATGGCCAATGTCATTGCCGGCATGTTTCCTAACGGGACCGATCGGCAAACATATTTAGACGCTGCACGCGACTTCCGAATGCCATATTGGGACTGGGCAATGCCTCCCCCTCCAGGAGAATCACATTTTCCTGATGTATTCTGGAATGCGACCATCTCCCAGTGGGGTCCTCGAGGTGTTCAGGAGATACGCAACCCTCTCTACTCGTACAGGTTTCATCCAAAAAACGCAACTGCTATGGTATGGAGTCCAGTGAGTGCCCCCACGTTGCGAGAGAACTCGTCATTGACTATCAACTAGCTGAGAGACTGGGACGAGACCAAGAGAGCCCCTAACGTATCTGAGAGTGAAACCGACCCAACGTCTGACAACGAAAAGGTCAACGCTGCGCTACTATCGAGACTTCCAGAGATACAACGGCGCCTATATGAGCTTTTGACTAGTTACAAGGACTTCAACAGCTTCGGGACCAAGGCATGGGGTGCTACGCAGAATTTGTCAACGGCGGACTCGATCGAATCTGTTCACGACATTATTCATACCGACGGCGGTCTTGGAGGACACATGACATATGTCCCTCTGTCTTCGTTCGATCCACTGTTCCTACTTCACCACGCCATGACAGATCGAGTAGTTGCCATATGGCAATCTCTTAACCCGTACTCATGGGTCACTCCAATGCCGGCGGGTGAAAACAGTTTCACCACTCTCAAGGGGGAGATGCAAGACTCTCAGTCCCCGTTGACTCCGTTCTTTGCGTCTGTTGACGGCACCTTCTGGAACTCAGACACAGCCAGGACAACAGAAGCTTTCGGATACACGTATGCTGATACTGATCTCACGGGGAAACAGAAGGAAGATGTTCGACAAGACTTACAAAAGAAGGTGAGCGAATGGTGGGGAGGTTCAGCTGCGGTTGGTCTTCAGGCGGGCACGGATATTATGATGGCAGGCGGAATCTCTTCGACAGACTACACGGCCAAATGGACTATCGCTGTCTTGGTAAATATGGGGGCATTTCCCGGGTCCTACACCATCTACTTCTACCTGGGACAGCTGCCCACCGACTGTGGTGAGCAAACATCTCATTATGTCGGCGGTATCCCATTTGCTGGTAATCTCATGGCAAACCCATCAGACTCGGTGATTACAGCAGCACTGCCCATCCAATCTCGACTCAGAGAAAGGGTCATATATGGAGATCTTTCCAGTCTGAGTTTCAAAGATGTCGAGTATTATCTGCTGGAACGAGAGAAGCTCCAGCTCTGTGTGATGGCCGACTTCAGAAGGGATGTGGACCCAGCTCAGATCAGTGGGCTACGTGTTGAAATCGTCCGCTCAAGTCATAAAGATGGTCGAGATTCGTTCAAGATAGACACTTCCTAGATGAGTCTGTTGGGTTTTAGGGCTAAAGAACAAGTAGAACAGGACATGTTTAGAAGAGGTATTGACAAGTCTTTGCTGAGTTGAATTGAATTGAATTGAATTTACTGAGCTAGTCTAGTCTAGGAAACCTATTCGTCAGTGCCGAGGTTGTTTGATGTCTTTGGAAGTTGGAGACTTGGAGTTGGTGGCTTTACAGCACAGCACCACATAGTCCTCAGGGAGAAAGAAAACCGATCAACTGAAACCAATGGACTAAAATTAACTGGACTATATGCCTGCTAAAATGTGCTAAACTCATCTCAAGCATTTTTGTCCTTTAGGTCAGACGTCACAAGTCTTCTTTCTGACCCCCAAAGGCTTGGTATTGTCTCTGATGCAACCTCATCTCAGCTGCCATGTCATAAGAAAACGCCATAAGCATTGTTTCGCCCTTCTTAAGCAGTATATAGCATCTCCCCCAGTTCTCCCACGATCATCTATAATATCCAAATCCTCAAATATCACAGCATGGCAGACTCACACATCCCATCCGTTCCTCCACCATGGACCCTCAAAGGCGACATCTACGCCTTTATATTCTGGACGTCTCCCTCACAAGCCAAAGAAGGTCTCCCTTCAATTGCTTACTCTCCTCTTGAAGGCCAATCCAGCTTTGCTAAAGATCAGAAAGCTCTTGGAGGCCTGAGCATGTTGCAGCTTATTCGCTACACGGACTCTCCCGTTGGACCCTACGATGAACTCATTCTCGCGCCGGGGACTTTTGGGTATGAGAAGGAGGATGAGAATGGGAGGAGAGTGAAAGGAAAAGGTGTCAAGATTACGAGGATCTACGTTTCTCATAAACACACGTGCTACAACGGTAGAAAGAGTCCGCCTACTCTCTCAGTATCTTCCCTCTTCACCTACTAACAGTAGATATGTAGACTGGAACGTCCCCAAACACCTCGCCAAGTTCGACTGGACTGACAACTCAAACGGCTCTACAACTGTCAAAGTATATCCTCACGATACATTGCCCACAGACTCAGCTAGCTCTGAGTCAGCCTCACCAGATCCCACGCCATTCTTCCAAGCCACCTTCAAGCCTATTCGCTATGCGCCCTCATTTCCCTTCCGAACTTCATGGATCAACTATCTGGGCTTTGACACCACTTTGGTCTTCCCTCCTCTCCCTGAAGGCTCTGGGAGCCAGGGCGAGCTGCCTGGTACTGACCAGTGGTGCTCTGTCGTTCCGCAGCAGTCTACGTCCAAGTGTATGTTGGGCTGGTTTGACGTTGAGCAGCATCGCGATGAGGAGGGCAAGTTGACGGGTGAGTTTGAGAACTTCTGGCCTGGTTGGTCCAAGTGGCAGATTGGGATCAAGATGGAGAACTCTGTTATCGAGTTTGATCACCCAGAGGCTTGGGAGCCGCCCAGGACGAGACTATAAGCAACATCAATAGTTCACTGTTTGCTTGTATGGATCTGAAAGTCAACTTGGCCATCAAGAAATCTCTGTTCGAGACCCATGCGCTAGGAGAGAGTCATGCAGGTTACTATGTACGTAAGTAAGCAAATCCCTCTTTACCAAAACACCGTCAACTCCAGTGTTTGCGTACCACACAAAATAACAACCTCAACCCCATCTTCCAACCAACAGGTTGCCTCTGTTGGCTCTCCATACCCATATCCGTAGCCCATGTCTGTACAAGTACCCCAGTCTACGCAAGAAATACAGCTTTCTTGAGCAGCCCACTGCTCGCTCTTTCAACCCGTCCTTCAAACATCGCACATGTCCAACAATGTCATAAACTACTTCGTTCTCAGGATCAGCCCTGTAAAAGCTATTCGGTTTCCTCAACATCCCCTCTCAATGATCATACGCTATCCGTACAGGATAGTAGCAGGGCCATAAGGCCCTTGTCAATAGCTATGATCGGAACAAACACCAGTGGTGAGGTTGATCAATGGCTGCTTGTGTTTCGGAGATCGCCCTTGTGTCTCGCATCGGTTGAAGTATTTGGTTGCCAGGACGATCGGAGGCAGTCCCATATTCATCGGTTAAGGCAGACGGTCAACGTTTATCCACAATAGATACGGGTTGCTCTGTAAGGGTAACACATTGGCTGGCTATCACTCGGTGACTTTATTCACTCAGTGTTTCCAGTTCCCCCCTGTTTGGCCACTACTTCTCGTGCATAAAACTCGACAAGCATAGTCGCATACGCTTCCAGATCTTCCACTGGGACGGCTAATCGAAAATCGTTGAGGAGCAAAAATTGGAGCTCGAGGTGGTTTAGTTCAACCAAAGGCAGACCACCAACCTATCGTGTCGTTAGTTTCATCTCAGCGAGAAAGGGGCGGCAGAGTACAGTTACATACCTTGGCATATCTTGAATTGGTGTAGAAAACATCTGAGAAGAACTTGCTTGCACACGTCACACCAGAGATGATGAGACGGTGTATATTGAAACTATCGACAACAAAGTATGTCGCCGCTGTAATACCACTGTATTCAGTAGGGGTAGCAGCTCCCCTATGGCTGCTTGTCCGGCTTAGTCGAGTTGAGTCAGCCATTTCCTCGTCGTCGTCATCTGCCAGGTCCGAGTCACTCTCGTCCACATCCATGCCCTCACCGCGCATAGGGGTGTCTTGAGGGGAAGTTGCGTTTGATTGCTGGGACCGCGTTTGCCGTCGGTTCTCTTCATTCCTCGTGACCATATCGTTGACACGTTCGGTCATACGATCGAAGTATACCAGCAGACTGAGGAAAACCTCGTAGGTAGTGGGGCAGTATTTGTGTATTCTCGACAGGTAGCTGAGGATGGTGATAGCGGGTACATTCTTACCGTGGAAAGCGAGAACTGAATGGTTCAACGATGAGATAGAGCTTCCACTGGTGTCCCCAGACTGATTAGCCTGTTGTTGATGAGCAACATTGCGCTGCATTGCATCGTGCTGCAAATCGTTGGTGGTCGTGATCTTTGTTAGTAACGCAGCAACCATCTCAATGATATCCCCTATGGGCATACCACTAATCTCATACTTCATCTGCTGAAGAGGCGGGTCGTTGAGGATACCAGATCCGCCATTGCCAGATAGCAGGTCGGCGCTGGCCAGACTCTGGATATGCGCTAGGTCACGAATGTGTATGACGGTCTGTGCTGGCGTTTGCGACGATGCGCCAGAGACAGGAAACGAAGGATTAGGTATTTGGAAGTCGTCGGATGCAGGAGATGGCTGTTGGGCAGACGAGTTGTGAGAAGTCGGGCCGGGCTGAGAAGCGTGACCTAGGGGACCAGAGTCCCTCGCGTCAGATGCCATAGACGGACTCTTTGCATCATCGGCATAAGCAGGGCCGGTGGCAGCAGCGGGCGATGAGGATGGAGGCGGGGAGGGGAAGCGTGAGGCTCCGCCAGTGGCCGACACGTGGGCGATTTCGTGACCCGCAGGTGCTGGAGTAGAAGTTGACTCTGAAGCCGATGCAGATGCAGGCGCGTGTGACCACGTCGCAGAGCTGTGGTTGCTGCTGAAGTCGGCGAGTTCTGCTGTACGCTGCGCTCGCGGGGTAGTGGAGCGTCGTGATCGGCTGCCGGATCGATAAGAAGAGGAAGAGTCGTGTGAGTGATGATGTTGAAGGGAGGGGTTGGCAATCATGGTATGAGGATATGAGGTGTCTGAGATAATGTCGCCGATCACAGCGGCCATAACATCGCTATCGTGCAGACTTTCGTGGGTGATTGAAACGAAAGTTATTATTATGAGAAACGGAGGGGTATCGTTGTTGTCGCTGGTTTCGCAGAGGAAAGTAAAATCGTAAACGGCCAGTTAAACTGGGGGACAAAATAAAAACAAAAAATTAGTCGTCAATATCACACAAAACAATGTCATATATCGCTTCTTGGGGATTGCAAGCTGCGGAAAAAGGTAGAGGCAATGCAGAATGGAGGCGATGACGATGTCAGAAGCCAAGACAAGTTGAGGAAATCGAAAAGAATCAAGCAAATGGAGGGGACAACATGCAGTAGAGGAGGGGAGAGGATCGGGCCGGTGGAGACGCCTAAGAACCAGAACCAGAACCAGGACCAGGACAAGCCCGACACAGTGGATGCTGGAGGCTTTTTGGAGGCTGAGTGAGTAGTCACTGGAGCCAGAATGAGGGAACTCCTGGTCAGCCTGACTGACTAGCAACTGGCGTCGTCCAGTGGGTGCCCAGGCGTTCAACAGCCTGCTAATGAGTGGTCCTCACAGTGCAACATAGCAAAGCACCCGCCCCTCGTGGGTGAGCTAGCGGGTACCGAGTGGTGGTCGAGGCGGCTGGTCGACCAGATGGTGGGGTGAAGGCCGATTCATTCTCCCCGACAAAATCTCGGAACCAGCTCAGTGGTGCATCTCCCTGGTGTGATTGGTGTAACTTGTTGCAACAATTCAGGGTTCTGAGTGTTTTTTGGTTCACATTTCCCCTTTGCTTGCCGTTTTTTCTTTTTCTGGAGAATTCGAGGGTGTCCCAGTGCAATCCACGGCTACTTTAACTGTCTCTGGATCATATCAAGAGAATGAATTCTTGTTGGGTGGGGGTTGAGGTGTCATTCGTCGTCGATCATATCCTGTCAAGAGGATGCGCAAAGGAGATGCCCATGGCTTTTCGTCATTCGAGACAAGAAACGTGCGGATTTGCATGGCATAGCCTGGTATACCACAGGCAATCGTTCGAATGATGAGAACGGCGGGACGACCATCGCGTTGCCACCTGCAGTGTCGTTGAAACCAGTGGAGGTTCAACGATATGTCCGATATGTCTGTCGGCCATGGCAAGTGTAGTGGCGTTTGTGAATTCGCATCCGTCTTGAAAGCACAGGCCGACGACGTCACCACCCCTGCCACCATATTGTGCAGCCATCCAGAACTCGAGCCTCGAGGGTGAGTGGCTGACTCGGTCCCTGAGACTGTTCACCAGGCGCCCGCGTGTTTGCGACAATTTTCCTCCGTGGTCGGGTTTCACTCAGGTTTGGCAAACTAAATTTGACGCTCATGTATTGATGAAGGGTGACGATGTGTGGTATACAAGGGAAGAATAAATGGTACGGCAAACATGAAACTGGGCACATGAAACACATCAAAATGAAGCAAACATATGGCGCACTTACCGAAGGCTATGCAGATAAAAGCAGATCTCGTTGGAAGCAGGTAAAGCCAGTCGCAAGTGTATGGGTGTAATGATATAAAAGGAGCTACCGTGAGAATTGATTCAGGGAGATACTCGAAGAGCCTCTTTGGATTCGGAGTAGGTTGAAGTCAAGTCAAGTTAAGAGTGACAAGCAGCAAAGGATAGAAAGCGATTGGTTGTCTTAGGTAATGTTGAAGCGTGATTCCAAGACTGGAGCGTCTTCCGGAGAAGGCGACGGACACGGCGAGGAGCGGAGCGGAGCGCGTTAGCTGAGGATAAGTCCAGAGCTTTGGTCGATCGACACTTCCTAAAAGATAGGGAGCGAGATCGGCTGCCGCTTAAGAGTTATTAAGCTCGAACGTGTGAGTGCGTCTTCTGGGTGTTCGGATGTAGAATACTAGAAGCAGTTCATCTCACCACGTTAGGTTTCGTTATGATAACCAGGCCGATAAACAGATACTGCTAGGAAATAGCGGGCAATAGCAAGCAATAAATCGCTGTAAGCTCCGAGTCCAGCAAAGCGACACGCAAGCGAGCACTGAAGTTTCGACAAACACAGCTATAAATTTCTTGGTTCAAGCCCCGTCCACTGCAGGGGGGAGAACGATAGCGAATCGAATGACACGGCTTTGGGGTATGTTTTGGCTCGGTCGACCAGAACAGCTTGGTCTGGAGGCTTTGGTACTCTTACGGTCCGTTCGCTGGGGCTGGTCTGGATCTGAATCTAGCGTAGGGGTCTCACGGGTCTCTCTCCAGGTCAGGCGATGGACCTGTTGAAATGGCTCGAGCTCGCTGTATAGTGGAGTTGAGATGGAGACGAGTTGACCAACAACTCGATATAGGATATTTACGCCTCGAGGTACGTAAGGCTTAGTGAACAGCTGTATCAAAAAAAAAAGAAGGAAAAGGAAAATCGACAATAACGTGGGGACAACGATATGCGCAGTAGGTGGAGCAGAGGAAAGGAAAGGAAAGGAGAGAAGCTATTTTTAATATCTCTTGGCGAGCAGTGAAACAGTTGGAAAGTTGTTGAGCTGACTCTGAATCAGGGAAAGATCCATCCAGCGCTTCGTCCCTGCTTGATCCCGATACCTCGCTTCTACTTATCTGTCCCAATCTAAAGGAAGGTACGACGAGGGGAGGAGTCTAGGTAGGTTCCTCCATGCTTTGCTTTGCCTAAGGTCGGTACTCGTTAGGACCGTGCCTTCCTAAACAAATACTAGTGATTGTAGATCAGGGGTTTTGACAACAACATGGCAGGCTTTGTTAGGTAAGATTAGTAGGTAGGTAGGTACCTTGGAGATATGTACAAAACAATGACATCGTGCTCTGCATTTCATCCTTTCTCTTTTCCATGCCAGCTTCAAGAACTGTCATTGTATCTTGTCAGTCTGAAGTGGTCCTCCACATTTCCAGAAACAGCCCAGAGCCAAGGATCGACGCACGTGGGTGTGATCACTCTCCTCTTTGAGAAACAACAAAGTGATGTGATATTCTCAACAAGAGCCAAACTCTTCGAGAAACGGCTTCCATAATTCAACTCCGGAAATATAAAAATCAGTGTTATTGCGTAGAGTTGTCATGCATGAAGGCTTAACTCGATATCTCAAGACAATACATAGGTGAGACCTTCAGTCTTGAACAGATTATTAGCAGTTTGAACTCGGCTTGTCAGGCGTATAATAGGGAGAGTAATAATCATATTCCTTAATACAGTTCATGTCCTCCTCAGTATATAACCAAGAAGTCTTGTATCCCTAAGCTCAGATATCAAAAACAAGTATCAAAGGCCTACAAAGTCTAGCCTAAGGTTATATGAGTATTTTTATCATCTAGAACAGAGGGCGTGGGTTTCTTGCCTCCCCTTGACTGCCAAGGTATCGGTAAATGTTCAGCATCCAAGTCATCATTTCAACCTGATTCACACCACAGCCATGAGCTTGATACAACCTCCAACTCGGCATTCGGTAAGTTATCGACCGAAGGTACGTAGTTTGTGAGTTGATAAGCCCTCTCAAACTGAGTGGACAACCAAGATACTGAATACCGGTTATCTGCAGGTTGACCGTTTCAACTATACAAATCCGTCATCAACACAAGAACTGACCACCTTCATCACACAGCATCCCTCTACCATCCTGGAAGATTCACAAAAACAAAACTTGTTAGAGGGTTCTCCTGCGTCTTTTTCCGTTGGTAAGGGTCCACACCGGATATATACAAAGGGCCACCGACATCGGGTGCAACCTCTTTGGGGCTGCAGTCTCACGATTGAGTCTTATGCAGGAGAGTGAATTTACAATCCTTGATCACTTAAAAAAGGCTCCTTACAGTAGCGATCTTCTCTCGCTTTCATGGATATACACGTGCCCTATCTTCCTCAATCAACGTCTCTGCATACTGTTGCTGGCTAATACAAATCATAAGATACTTCAGAGTTCACCGCTCAGGTATACAGTAAGATCCAAGACAGAGTCAGTAGAGTAAAGCACGGGCATCTTATGCAGTCGCCTTGAACCAAAGAGCATTTGCCGTTCAAGCACATGGCAAGTGTTCAGCTGAAATGGCGACTCCCGCTTCACCAGGTTAGTACTTACCACACAAGTCTCGTGAGTCCCTCATTTGTCGCCCCGAGTCCACTCTGCTGCAAGTCTTGATACACCAATTTCGTTCATCACGGGAAGCCTCATTCTAGAAGAGCGGTGAACAATCTAGATAGCCGCCACCACTTATTAATGTCCGCCTTGCTTTGGAAAACGATTCACTTGGGTTGTATCGAATTGATTTGCACCGTCGTGTAGGCTCGTATTCCAGTGGCTTAAAACCGAGTAATGTTACCCCACGTTATCAACCTAATCGCAGCTTCACATGTTGCGGGGATTGGACTTGGATCGCGGCCCGATGCATATCCCGTTCCGCTCCCATATTGAATGCTGATTTGTTTCCGAATGAGGTCGGTAGATGTATTGGTTTTCTTGTTCCCATTATCTAGTGTACAGCGCTTCCAGCATCTATCGTTGGCTGTTCTCTGAAGAGTCTGACCATATGCTCTTCATTCTTTACCTCAGCATCAGCTCGGGATGCCTATGGAAGGCCTCTCCCTCGTTCGTACACCCTTTGTCATGACGGGTTTCATAGTAGCAATGCTCATGCTAGGTAGTTTCTCCTTTCCTCGATTTGTCCTGTTCAATAAGGACGATTACTCGTGCCGCACGGCGTAGTCGGTATCAGGGAGATACAAGTGTCGGTCCGCACCGTCCTTGGTGAGGACGACCATACGAATGACACCACCAGAGCTACCGTCCCACTTGATAGCCTCCCTCAAGGCTCCCTTGACGAAGTTGACTGCATCATCCTTCTCCATGCCCTCTCGCCAGTTCGCATCACAGTAACCGTAGATGTAAGTCGATCCTGAACCGCCGATAGCATAAGATTGCTTGTGAAGGGAACCGCCCAGGGGAATGGAGTAAACTTGGCCACCGAATCGCTCATCCCAACCAGCAATGATGAGGCCAGCACTGTAGACGATATTAGTATCAGTTTCGTTTGCACTTGAAATGGGGTTGGCGGAACGTACGACAGTCGGTCCTTGTTGGCGTAGCAGATCTCCTGGAAGATTGACGCAGCAGTCTGTGTCATGGGGGGCTTGCCATTGGTCATGGCAAAGAGTCCGAGCTGGTATTGAACAATGTCGGCAACAGCCTGTGTGTCGGCAGCTGAACCAGATCGGCAGCACCAGATAGTGTCGTGTACTCTCGTCAACTTGTCTGTTACTCGGTTTGCGATGTAGGCACCGGTCGTTGTTCGCGAGTCCGCACCTGAAAACAACCGTTACTAGATGCACTTTCGTCGGGGCATGAGACACCTACCAAGAATGACACCGTCCTTGAAAGTAACCGCCATACTATGATATGTTAGGCTGCGTCGGTTGCATCATTAGGGAGGCACGTACATCGAGGTTCCCAGGCTTTGAACATGTTAGCAAGCTGCGCTTAATGACGGTGGGTATGATTCAATACTTACTTGACCTCTCCCTTCTTCAGGCGGTCCATATCAACATGGATACCATCTGGTGATATCTGTAAGCTTCCGTATCGACAAGGCCAAGCTATGACGAAAGAGTTTCCAACGCACCCTCATTCAATACTCCAGCGTTGCCGAACTCCATTATGACGATTTAGTGGTGTTTTCTTAAATCTCCAGAGGTATTGGCTGATCGATCGTTTCTGAGTCGTGCTTCGTAATGGTTCGTGGTCGTTTCTCGCTGCTCGGGGAAGGCTGGAGCTCAAGTGAAGCTCAAGGCAGCTCTGAACGCGCAGCCGCGCCGGACAGCCAGCTATTGTGTCATGTGATTTTTCACGTGATTCGTTCAAAAGTTACAGGAAGAAGATGATTGACTCCAACAGCTTTCCGAATTCTAGATACTGTTATTAGTATGATCTTATGGAGTTTGTTTGTGTTTTTCAATGTGTTTATTTACATTTTTTGTCGCTTATGGTTGTTACGTGTGCAGGAGTTTGGAGGAATCGTGGTATATCAAGCATGAACCAGCTGGACCAGCCAAAGCCAGCACATACTGAAATACTTGTACATTAATGTGGGATTGTCATATTCTAGCTCTTTAATGCTTGTGCAGCTCTTGATCCGGTCCCTCGGCCTGGGCAGCTGCTGTGGTTTCTGCACCACCCTCCTTCTTGTCCTTGTCACCACAGCCACAGTCGTAAAAGTCGCCAATGTTTTCGCAGTCAAAGAGAGGCTTGTGTACCCTCTCGTTGACAATGTTGTGGGCGAAGCACAGCCATCCGGCCGCTGCGTTGCGGCTGCTGGTCTGTGGCGGATACTGGGCGAGAAGCTTTTGGAAATGCGCCGCACACTGGCCGCAAGGATAGAGTCGGGCGAATAGGTGCATGAAGGTCTCGAGGGCCATTCGATCGTCCTTGGTTGGCTTATCGGGGAATCGTGCCATCATCGTATGGAGAAACTTCCACGTCGCGTGGCCAAGTTCAGCCCTGTGAGGTAGTGTTAGTGGTGCTTTTACTCGTGAAATGAAATTCTATCGACATACTTCAACGTCGCGTTCTCGAGCTTAGGCGCAATAGAGTTGCCATCGAGGAGACCAGCAGGCAGAGCGCCGAGGTCAGCAGCGAACTCAGATCGAGGGGCTTCTTTCAGGGGCAGTTCAACATCGCTTTGGTATTTAGGAAGAATACTGCGCGAGGGTCCGGAGAAGAGATAGGACAAGGTAAAGAAGACTCCAAGGACCAGAATAAAGGTCGGTGTTAAATGCTGTCGACGAGCCATGATTAAGTGGTGAAGTTAAAAGAGTGAGGTAGAGGTTAATCCTCCAGAGGCTTGAGTTGATGGCTCATGATAGCAGATAAATTCCAGCAGGGACCTCTATCGAACGAGCTTCTGGGCGCAACTAACCAGTTACAGCAAGAGACCCTGGGAGTCCTGAAGCAGCGGGGGGGCCTAATTGCAAATGAGATGCCAGATCACCCAGAATAAAGTGGCATGAGTGGTTGGTGGGGCCGGCCGTCGCCGGGACGGACGCCCGTTGGTGGATCCCCGGGGAGCATACGATCACGAGTTTGACGTTCAACTACGTGTGTAAAGTTGCATCATGATGAAAGCACAGGAGTAGATTGTTGAATGCTTGCATTGGGAGTGCAACGGATGCAAAGGGAACGAATTTATAGCTCTCTATCTTTCTAAGTAGTATTCACCATCTCGTACAAAATCATATTGTGATGAATAAATGTGAGCACATGAATCTTGCAAGGCCAATAAAACGGCTTCATATATCGCCCCCGTAAACTACAGCCACATATATGACCATAAAAGATCTATCGGCAGAACTTTCTATACCCTCCGGGTGCAATGTGTTGAACGATTGATTCCCTTCTCATTGAACCTACCCTATATGCATATTGGAATCCGGATTGATTGTATTGGGTTGACTAGAACTTGGCGATGTTGGCTACAAGCGAATATTCTTTGACCATAGCACTAATACAGTTTATTTCCAGGGAAATTATGGCAGATGCATTCAGTACTGGTAATTGTAGCTGGGTATATTCCAAACGCTTGAACACTTTGCAAAACTTGCTGTCACAATTCACCCCCAAGGCAGTTGCGTATCACGGTGAAGACAATGGACAGATGGACACACGGAAAAGAACAACATCGTGCGATCTCACAAAGCCAGAAGGGTAGAGGTACCGACTACAAAATATAATGCAAGAGTAATATGTCTAACGTGATGACACACACCATATAAGGTCAGGAACAATTATAGTACCACACGAGAGACGACATTCAAGTCGCTTAGCCACATTGCTATTGACAGTTGGAGTGCTAACCAAGTCTTGTCAGTTAGCATCATATGCAAGAGTCCTTCACCGGTTGTTAGACCTTTCCTACATCAAGATCGTACAACAACACAGGATAACATAGACGCAAAAAGTGACTAGTCACTAAACTAGATGACTGAATCAAGGAAAAGATAGAAAGAAACTTCACTTGAAAGACATACTAGCATGGGGATTGTCATCAACTCATGAGCCAAGCAACTGCCACGCGATATGATTGATCAGACAAGAGACAGACCTATGAATAGCAGAATCAGAGTCATTGCTATTCCCATAAGGTTGACGATATATGAAACCAAGATCCAAGTCACATTCCAGAGTTGCCTCGTGGCTTGTTTGGCTTTCAATCACTCCTTCAAATACGCATAGCCCTGTTCGCGAATGTGATAGAGATACTCGAAATACGTGGCCTGGAGGCCCAATCGGCACTCCATTCCAGCGCAGATGGAGAACAAAGGATAGACTTATGCATGTCTAAGTTCGCGGGTTATTGGATGTCTCTAGCAGATTGGAGGAACGGCCAATATAAAAGCCACTCGCATCCTTAGCCCGATTAACCCGGGACCGTCACGGCGAGGACAGTTATCGGCATGCAAAGAGCATCAGCCATCTGTATGAATGCACATAGCGACATGCTGGAGGAGTACTCATAGTAATATCCTGCGGCTTAAAAACGCGAGCCACGTTGAGGCCGGAGGAAGAGGCTAGACCTTAACCAACCTCGTAATTGGACGTAATCAGCCTTGCGACGAATGACGAACAAAGAACCACAACAGATAGTATAAAGACGAATTCTAATTTGATGACATCGGATGTCCCAGCTTGCTTGGTGTGTATATGTTCTCCGTGAAGTGACATCTAGCGTCATCCTTGACATGTTAGTATGGATCACGTTCATATCACAAGCTGAAGAAACCAGGATAGGCCGAGAAGCTGAGGCTCTCCGCTTTGCTGGAATTGAAAGGAAACAACCGAGCCTGGGGATTTGACTCAGCTGTTTCAAGAAGTGATAGTTTACCGAATCTAGCGAGGCGAGCCGCTGGCGGCCTCGTCTCAGGAGGCACTCCTATCATTAGCCTTTGCTTAAGGGCAACGGTAGAGCCGGATGGATCTTTGTTGTGAAATGCAAATTACGCTACCGAGTCGACTGTCTCTCAAATGTTTCTCGAAGGGACACTCGTTTCGTTTCAGGCAGAGTCAGCTACCGACTGAACTGGGCTATAAACATCAGGTCAGGCAGGGAGACGCCCGCCAATACCAACAAGACAACGCTTGCTTGGACCCGTATTCAAGAGCGGTAGGGCGGAAGCAACCTGGACGGTGGTGGTGACGGTGGAGGCATGTAGGTGAAAGCCGCTCATACGGGCGATCTGATAGGAGAAATTGTAATGAGACGATGCAGTTTCCACAACCTGGGAAAACATCTGAATCAGTTTTGGTCATCCGGGTCCATAGAGAGATGGATAGAGATTGAATGAGCCCGTAGAGTCTCTTGGCAACGAAACCATCACGATGAACCAAGCCAAACCTTGCCTAAGCTGGGCAAGAAGAAGCGGTAGAAACAAACGGAGCGGATACTCGGGAGAAAGAATCGAATCATTGAAGTTGAGATCGCGTCAAACAACGCGATCACCAAAAATGGCAGCTGTTCATTTGAGATGCAGGGGAGGGCCTGTTAAATTGCGGCCATATTAGGCCGCGGACATCCCAATCTGGTGAGACCCTGTACCACTATTTCGTATTTCTGGAGCTGGAAACAATTAGTCCAGGATCGACCTCTGCTTTGATGAAGCCAGAAGAAACTAAAGATGCTGGTTGCTTCAGGTGAATGCTAGGAGAATTTCAGTCAGGCTATCGATTCTATCCGTAGACGGTGGACGGAGTTGAAGAGAACAGTCTGTTATGCAAAGTGGCTGAGCATTTCACAACAGGGCGTAAAGAAGGTTCACGGAACCAATCTCCGCCCATCATGCAATAGCAGAATACGGATATGAACAGCACAGATGCAACTCTAGATAACTTTGTTGGCGCCTATCCTATGTATAGGCATAGGTATGTAGAGCACCACGCGCCGAAGGTTTGTGGGGATAGAGCAACACCAACAGCCGAGAAGTAGGCCGACATGGGACGAGGTGGGAAATACAACGGTAACATTGAAATACAAGAGTTAGATAACTAGATACGGATAGATCAGAGTCAAATGGCCTCTAAGTTAAATTGAAGAGGCCGATCTTATGCATATATGTTAGTTGTTAACGGGGTGGATAACCAGGACACTCAGGTGAGAGAGGTGCGTGCCATAGAGATAAACAACATGATGATTGCCCCCTTCAAAGAATGAACGTCAATATCTTTAGCCAAGCTTATCCAGGATGACAACAAGCATCAAGGAAGGATCTCGGAGTCATCTGTAGATCATCGAAGGAGCCCGTGACCAAGGATCATTTGAAGTTGACAGCCCGAGATGAGAAGGGAGTTTATTATTGACAGACCAGACCAGGCCAACCCTAAATTGAACGGATCTTTGCATATCACAACCACAACACGAGAAAACCATGTGTGGAAGCACACTAGGAATCAGTTCAGTAGAGATTTGCGCGTGAGACATTTAATACCAAGAATTATTAGTAAACCGACGCGCAATCTCGGACGCTCAACCAACCGAACTGCAGCATTTTTTTCTGTCTGTATGTAGATTCATTGCATTTCCCAGCGCCCACGTGGAGCTGTGGAATTCGCTGCTGCACAGAATAACTCGCTGCGAACCAACCAGCACAAGCTCATCGGCATCATCAACTCAATCGAGGTGATGGCGGACGTTGTCTGACCCTTACTCATAGGGCCCCGGTCAAGCCACCGTCACAACCTATTGTCAAGTTATTTCGCTTGGACACGGAGAATCTCGAGTCAAAGACATGGCTTGCAAGACCGGTTGATTGTATCCGATATATTATCATCATTCAGCCGGACCAAGCCAAACCTAAATCCTACTTTCTTTTTTGTATGAAATCGCTCATGCTGACACAAGGGACAGTCTGGGCACAGAATGACGGAGCCCTGTATGTCGACCAGGCCTGCCAGGTACATTACCGACAATGTTGAGTCTCCAGTCTGGCATTGCATGCCACGGAACGGTAGGGAACAGGGTCGTGATGATTAAAGGCTTAAGCCCCCGGGTCCAAGTGGCGCTGCCGAGACGAAGCTAGCCGTTGCTAAGACTTTGCTCGAGCGGGTCTCTCTGGCTGGTTTTGAGGTGCAATTGGGCTTTTCCCCTGTCGTCAAAATCAAGTCGGCTCCATCAAAAGTCGGTTCCTGGATCGCGGCGCTATCCATGCCACGGGGTGGCCCTCTTTTCGGGCCCTGACTATCAGTAGGGGAACAGGGAACGCACCAAGGTGTCGCTGGCCGGGAGGCTGCTGATTGCGGTTAGCAGTCGATACACGATCATCCGTTGATCGGTACCTTGTTCTCGATGGTGACCACACATGCTGAGAGGGTATTGTAGGGAACACAAGCTTGTATCCTCTCGTGCTTTCATTCGCGTGTGAAACCTCTCTGGGTGGCTGCATCACCTCTTCCACGCGCTGTCGTTCACCATGCCGAGTTTTTTGTTGGTTAACAGAGGCCACGGTTAGATATTGTAGAACACCAGCCACGAATAAGACTCATGAGTCGGGTTGGACAAGACTGTCCCTGTTCGTGATTAAGCAGTTATGAACTGCCGATGATAATGACAAGGCGTGTAGGTTAAGTCATAAGCGAGATCATCTTTGAATGCATTGAATCTATCACTACCGTCACATCGCCCCCTTTGAATGTTTTCGGCACGAGAGCCACCTGTGGAATTGGGTGGTGAATTGCGACTTGACTCTGGAGTTTGTACATGGGGAAGCTTTCCTGTCAGATTCTTCGTTCAACTCGGAACGTCTC